AACGCCGAGTCCACTCCGAGTGGACTCTCCTCGAGTATTTCCGGTATTACTGGAACTCCGTAGATCCCGCCAACGATACCGTGGACCTCCGCTGGAAAGAATCGACGCCTGTTAATCTTATCTTCGCAAATGGAAACTGGTTCAATTCGATTCTCTCCCTTCGCAGTCCCTGGTTCTCCAGCTTGAGATTAACGCTAGAACTACTGAATAAATGAAAATCAATCATTTCTCTGTTACTTCTTTCGCATTGAGAAGACGCGAAAGCTTTCTCGGAAGTTACCGAGTAAATTGATCTCGTAACCGTCAAGCCGGAATATAAGTAAATCGCAGCTACGTGGCGTCGTCACTTCTACGGAAAGATGAAGTGACTTCTGTGTTAAGATTCAGTGTCGATTCGTTTCCCGGAACATCGCGCTCGGATATTCTAGAAACCACACTTCCGGCGCAAGACAAAAAGTCGATCTTCCCGTGGAAACAAGAAGCGGAGGGAATTTAGATAAGACCCGCGAGGTTGCAAGAAACGCGAAAGAATAACTGCCGCGATAAATCTCGGCCGTTGGAAAAAATAAACGAAAAACCGGGTGGAACCCGAGTCGGAACGGTTTTTCGCCGGCCGGCGAAAATATTGACCGGCGGTTTGATAAATATGGAGGTCGCGTTCGCGCGAAGGAACCATCGTTCGCCGTTATCATCTGTTATCGATTTAACAAGATATTATCCTGGCCGGAGGGAGACGCGACAGTCCGTACACGGTCGCGGATGCCACGGAACATCTCGTTCGCACGAACCTCTTCCCGAGGCGGCCGCGAAGATCAATCAACCCCCCGCGACGTCACGGCAACGGGGTTCACGGCGTGTCGGTGGCTCATTTTTATTTCATAATTTACGCCCGGCAAGATCATTTGCTTCCTGTCCGACGCGTTTCTCCTCGAATTACGCGTTAAAGAGCGCCGGAGTGTTCCTAGCCGCTAGGAACGTACACTGTGTATACGTATATACATGCTGGAATAACGGTTGCATCGCGGGAACGAGCGGAATAATAATAAATTTTCGGCCGAGCACAAAGGAAACGCATCGAGCTTGCAAATTGGATTTTTATGAAAGCGTTCTTCATCGTTTCCATGATGCCCTCTGGTTCCCCTCCGTCTTTTCGCTGTTTCATTCGATTTCATCAGATACACCATCGCTCGGTTCAAATATATTTATCTTTAATTGAACCCCTTTCTCTCTCTTTCTCTTTCTCTCTCTTTCTCTTTCTCTCTCTTTCTCTAGCTACTTCTCTCTATCTCTGTTTCTTTCTGTCAGTGTGCCCGCTGCTGTCGTTAACTCGCGTCTGGGCAACAGTAACCGTACATCGCAGTCGATAAAGCACGGTTTATTACAGAAACATCAAAATATAATAACGCGTAACTGTGACATGAATAATATAAAACGACGCGGAAACGCGAAAGTTCGCCTATCGATTTATCCATAAAAATGTCTTCGCGGGAGCCGGGGGCAGACCAGGGTGTTTCGCGACGCGGAGAATGCGACCGGCTCCCAGGGAAAATGGAAAGACTTCCGGGCATGCTTGCATAATTCCATCGATATCATTTTATCTGGTAGTCAACGACATTGTTACGGGATGCCTGGTGAATTTCATTTTGATAATGAAAAACCATCGTCGCTCGGCATCCGAACTCCCGTTCCCCCGTTCTCCTCCCGCCCCCGGTTTAATGAAAATCTTATATTCCCCGTTTACCGTTGCTCGTATCGACGCCGCCCGGGAAACTGCCGAATGAGATAGGGTAACAAATATTTAATACTAATTTTCCACGAGGAATCGCAACGGACGGACCGCTCCGCGTCCGAGGAGATTGCAAACAAGAAGAATATTACGGCGGACTGGGGAACGCAGTACGTTACGAATATAAACTTCCAGTTCTCTCGAAGAGAACGCTTCTGAGTTTGATTTATCCACCGCCATTGTTCTGCGATTCTACTTCCTTAATACATTTACAAACGTCGGGAAATCTGCGCGATCCTTTCTGAATCTGTCCGACTGCAAGATAGAGTCAACCGTGCCGATAAATTATCCAGCGATTTTCAACGTTTCATTCGTTTCCAATCAACTCGACACCCTTCAACGCTATTACTCAAGAATAAAAGACACTTCGATTGTCGTATTGCTAAATCAACTTCCTGGGTAGATTCTAAAACCTTCGTTCCCTAAGTAATTACGAAAACAGGAATGAATCGTTTCAACTTTACCAGCTCTAATATCGAAACAAAACGAATCACTTCCGAATAGAACCAAAGCAAAAGAAGATCGAGTCGCGAGAAGCGCATCGCGATCGTCCGCGAAGAGTTGCAAGTTCGAAAGGCGTCCTACCTCGCGCGGCGTTATTCAGCGAATGGTAACGTTAAGTTTAATACTCACGTTGCGACGGAAGTTTCGCGTGCCAGAAGCAGGACGATGCTGGCGCAGGCAGCCAGGCCGGCTGGCAGGCAGGCAGGAACTCGCGAAAATGCTCGGTAAACCGATTACATCCATACAAAAGCTGCTCACCTGACGATGAGAGCACGCGACTGGAACCACCCCCCGTGAATCCCCGGCTTCGAGTCAGCCACCCTGTTCTGGTTGCCTACGTCGATTCCCCCCGACATACCGGCACATCCCCCTTTCGCCCGCGTAACAACGCCGCTCGCCGATATACGTCACGATTTACGTCGTTCGCCGTCTACCCCCTACACTATAGGGTACTCGACCTTCGGCTACCCGCTGGCTCGTGACCAGGGCCGTCCGGGGAACACGGTAGCGCCCCTAACCTCGCGAAAAATTACGAGGCCTGGCTAGCGCGGCGGGGCAACGGTTTACGGTAACACGATTTACACGCGATCGGTTTAGGGATGATCCTTCCTGGCGTGTTCACTCCTCGAGGGCGTGTTCGGCCCGGCGAAAGCCTCCCGCGGCAATTTCTGCGCGGACTACTGGGAACCTCTTGCTACGGTCAATCCCGGAATCATGCTATTTTTAAGCCGGCCAACCGGACAGCGCTACCTTGGCGAACGGATTTGCCGTGCCCTTAATAAAACTGAGGGATAGATAACGATGCGACTGTTTCTTGGTGGAACTTGCTTGGGCACTTCTTATCTCGTATTTGTCTTGACCCCTCGCCCTACAACAATGAGTGAGACTCGTGGTGAAGATTTCCAACAAATATACATATTACTCAGTCCGTTCGAATTCAAAGTAAATATTATTCCTCTGTAATCAACTGTTATAGTTGGAAGGAAATATAGGCGTAATGTATGCTTCGAATTTTTCTCTTTTCCCAATAAGTTATTAATGACAAAGTAGCCGTATCGATCAGAGTTGAGAAAGAAATCACCAAGGGGTTAAAGAGATTAGCTGTGGTTGAAGATAATGGATAGTAGAGACTGGACTTCGGCTGTTATCCCTTTGCACTAGAGAGACGACTGTCATTTGATCTAACTTAGTAAGATTAGGAAATTTGAAGTTCGATATTAAGTTTTGCATAAGTTCGAATATTTCATTAGGGAATAATGAATATTTGTAATAAATCACGACGTATCCTTTACGGACCATAACGAGATAATTCATTCAGAGACGTGCAGCATGTAGACAGCGATTGTTAATCCCGTGTCGCTCGTGCTGTTATTGGAAGGTCTCGGGAGGCATCGCGCAGCTTCTAAGGGTAGCATCGTAACGAAGACTGTGTAAAGAAAGCCAGCTAAAGATAGACCCTTGAAAATAATTGGAGGATCTCATGTCTGGAGTGTGTGCACACTGTTGAGAAGTTGGCGTAAACTTCAACAACCGTTGCGTGCTATCACGTGCCACTGACCTTTCGCGCGTGGCCATCAGGCCGAAGGCTACCCGTTAACAAATAAGGAAACATGCGTTCGCAATAGCGTACGGCACGCAATACGCCGCTTTTCCAAGACGTAAACCCTGCTCTTTAGTATTCGGACAGCCTTCAGGAATGATTTAACATGCTAATCACCGCTCGGGTGGCTACGAAATTGCCACAAAATTCAAACATTTCCCACAAAGAAACGAAACGCCCAGAGAATTATTCGCTCGATTAATATTCATTTTTTCCTAACGCGAGGAAACGACTTCGAAACGTTTACGGTCCTCTAATTGCGGGGAATACTAATTGATTGGTCGATGCAACGCGTGCAACGGTTCGAGACGAAGTGAACTAACTGAAACGGCGCGTGCCAGTGTGAAAGAAAGTATTCGCGAGTTTGGCTTGTAACGAAAGTATTTACACGGGACCGACTCCATCGTTTGATAGGGGTACTTACATTACTTTTTCAAGGTGGAGGTACTACGAGCTCGGCGAACACGTCCGCCCGCGAAAATGGCCAGCCAGTCTTTGCTTTATTGCGAGAAGGGATTTACCATCGTCCGTAAAAAAAAGAAACTTTGAACGATACGACGAGCGAGCAGCTTGCAGGATGAAAGCGCTTTGGACCTAAAACAGAGTTTGCGAGCTAGACCTCGCGGTACGATGCAAATTGCTTTGGATATCTTGCGGCATACACGAGAATCTGAATAATTCGGGGAACTTACAGTCATGGAAACTTCAGACTTTTCATTGCCGTGACGTTATCTTTAACTGTTGTTGTTACTTTGCATCAGACGGATTCGAGAGGTTTTGCATTTATCGATTCTAAGGAAACTAGTTGTAATGCATGTAGAATAACTGAAGGAAAGCTGTAAGTTTCACAATCTCTTTGAGTCCAAAGTGTTAAGTGAAGGTCGTTTGAAGGTCACGTATGTGAACCTTGTGTTAGGTACCAGATGTTAAGGTCTTTTTATAAGAATAGAAATTTATAGATGTATCTGATGTTATGTATCATTAGGGACGGGGATTCGAATGGTAGATTATTATATCTGGAAAAAATGGGGAGTTAAAAATTTTGTAAATCGCGCTGAAAAAACTCGGATGATAAAACAGTCGATTGCGAGCTCCAGGCAGCTCCAGTGGAGTGGGAGGTGCGGAAGCAGAAACATCAACCTCTGACGTGTACCAATTGTCGGTGAAACTAATCTGCGTGTACTGTTGATTGAAATAAATGCAAGATGTTAAAAATAATCTGTCTTTTGGCAATATGTAGTTTCTGTATTGCTGAACCTACTGGTTTAGAGACAGTCGACGATAAAAAGCTCACAGATCTGATAGGAAACGAGAAATATGTGGTTGTGCTCTTCAGTAAGTTCTCTCTTATGTTTGTGTTACATTACTTCCCTTTCATGACTGCAATCATCTGTTAAAATCTGCTCACTATTGTGAAAATGTCCATTCACTAGAAAAAAAAGAAATTTTTCTATTGAGAAACATCTTCGAGTCAATTTATCATTGAGAAACCTGGCATAACCTGCTGCCTAAATGTTTTTATTTATTTGGAATACTCATATGTATTTTTTTTCAGCAAAGAAAGATTGTGAGACTTGCGACAACTTTGAGAATGAGTTGATTCATTTAAAAGAAGATCTGATAAACTCCTTGATTCCATGGGTTGTTAAGGCTGTGGATAGTCAGCTTCGTAAAATTTATATCCCAGATGAGGAGCCTATACTTGTCTTCTTTAGATATGGAATACCTTTACTCTATGATGGTAAGAAACAAAAAATATTTGTCTTATGGTACAGATGTTTTAATGGTTTCTTTTGTAGGGCCATTAAATGATGAAGAAATATTGACTCTTTTTACGGAAAATAAGGAACCTACTGTAAAGCAATTAACAGATGATACATTCGAGCATTTAACTCAGGCAAGCAGTGGGGCTACAACTGGAGACTGGTTTGTTATGTTGTAAGTGTTATTTTGCTGTGGTATCTACATTTCTTGTTTTCTTGGTATTTCATATTTAGTTTTGTGAAAACAGTTATAGTACAGATTGCATGGAGTCTATTCGAATGTCTACTAAATGGGAGACTGTAGGAGCAAAGCTTAAGCATAGGGTTAACGTAGCACGGATTGATATATATACTACTGGAGCATCCACAGCCAGAAGATTCAAAGTTTCTGAGACTCCTGCATTTATATTGTAAGTACATAAAATTTCCTATGCAGGAGAAAGAAAGAGAAAGAGAGAGAATATTTAATATGATTTATTTATACCCCTAGCTTCAGGCATGGTAAAATGTATCGTTACGAAATCCCGAAATACGATATTAATGCATTTGTATCATTTGCAAAAGATTGGTACAAAAATGCGCGTGCCGAAATTGTACCTGTACCGCAAACCCCATTGTAAGTGCTAACATCTGTTTAACATAATTAACAAAATGGTTTGCGGTGATATCTTGTTACAAAAAATAATTGTTCTTTCAGTGATGATTTCGTACAAACGATCGCAAATGGACTTCGTGATAATCCATGGATCATGAAGCTTGGTAGTATTACCATTGGTGTACTTATTATAATTTCGGTAGCGTCTAAATTCAGACGCAAACCTGAGATGCCTCAAAAGAAAGACTAATAATTTTATGCACCAAAAATATGTTATGGGTACTGTGTCAAACTATTCATGTTTACAATAAAACTTTTTAAATACAATTGTACTGTACTTTTCGACTATTTTCATGTTAGTTGACAACAATATGCTTCCACAATTGTATTGATAAATTCAGTACCCATAATATGTACAGAGAGATATAAATTTGTTTATATTCCTAGACATTGCATTTTATTCCATATAAAATAGTGTGTGATAGTTACAATGTGGTTCATTTTTTTAACAGAAATATTTTTTACGTTTTACAATAAATATTCTTAAATAAAAATTGTTGCTATTAAAAGATGTTAAAATATTTATCATAGTGTCTTCTAAGAACAAATATTTATGCTAATGGAAGTGTGCGTTTTACATTTACATTTGCCCACTTAACAATTAAATACCACCTGATTGAAAGCAATATATTTATTTAAGTATTATAAATTATACTTCAATTATACTTTAACTTATTTGCATTAAAGAAATAAATTTGAATGTCCACATCATCACATTCATTAGATACATACACCTCTTTATAACTTTTATTGGCAAGTTCATAGAAAAATAAAGTAAAAATATATGAAATGCGTTAAGTTCTTTGTATAGTCCTGTAACATAATGACTGAAACATAACTGTGTTCAGTTGTCTTACATTTTCAGTAGTCCCTATAATCACTCACAAGACACTGTGCAACATATATTACAGAAATGATTTCTGTGCATTATTTAAAATTATATTTATTCCCTGTGTGATATTTTTGGTCTTATCAACAGAAAATATTGCTTCTATATTAAACATTATCGACTGATATATTTATCCTAAAGACAGTAGATGGATCAGCTAATGCCATTCTAATGCTATTCTCAAATTTCTCTTGTATAGATGAGAATTCCATCATGTTACTTGGCTTTGAGTCTATCCAAAACCCATCAAATTCATAGAAGAGGTAACAATAAAATTGATGAAAGGCACGAATTGTTGGCAAAGTCTTTGAGGAATTATAAATATGGGTCTTGGCAGTTCCATCTTTCAACAAACGTAGAGCCATACTCGTTAAATTTATACCAACTATAGCAAAGGCATAGCCATAACGTGGATGCGTAGAGTGGGATAATACGTGTGTTGCAGCACTAGGGTATTCTTGTGCAAAATAAACCAAATTCTCCAATCCTAATATTCCCATTCCACGAAAGTCTGTTTTTGGATCATCACCCTGAAATCCAATTTCCTGCCACTGCTTTGTAACTCTAGCATCTAAAGGCTCATAAGGCATTAATGAATTCCACAATTGTAACAACAGCAATTCATGCTGAGGATTCTCAGCATCATAAGGCGTTTTTCTAAGCTCCTCGCATTCCACGCAAAGTTGTTTATAGCCCCAAATTAATTCTACACACTTGCCAAATGACTTAGCAAAGTCAGGGTGCGCTGTTGGATTTATCTTTTTAGTCACCAACACTGTCTTAATCGCTTCCTCTAATATCTTGCGTTCCGTTTTATTGGTGATTCCACGTTGCTCAGCCAAATCATTTAAATGGGCCACAAGAACTTTGATATTTGCGTTTCTGGATAATTTAAGAGATTCTTCTACAGCCATTGTTCTCCGTGCTCCAGACGGTTCTCCATAACAGATTCTCTGAAGCTCGCACATTTGTGTTGTCTGACGTAACAACCATTTTATAATGGGTCTGAAATACCAGCAAACTAGTGACCAAAGTTGCATGAACATGCTTTTCGTCAATTAAGAACCTTGATACAAGGAGTGTCCTTGAAGAATTCTTCTATGAAATCCAAATAATGATTAACCTCTTCCCGTCATTATACTTAATTAAGCATAGTACCTATTGATCTGGGAAAATCTGATTTCTCAATGACGAAAGTCGTCGGAACGCTTGGATTCGTTGTATTCTGTTAAATTCAACTTTTCCACCTTGTTTACCGCTACGTTCAAAGAACGGTGCACATAACCTGCGCCATAATAACCAACGTACATGACAGAAACGTTAACTATATTGAATGAAAACCAACTCGGTTGGCTGAATATTTTCTTGTACAACAAACTCACGGTTTCTACGTTACGTTACAAGGAAATCATCGATTTCCTCAAGCATTCCTTTTCTCTGGACGAAGATCAATATTAACCAGTCAAACTAGCACGATACCGACGGTGGAAGAGGTCACTCACTACCGTGAACTTGTACCAAAGTTCACTGTACACACATACCTGTTCTGAGCCGATTTCATTAATTTATTTCTTGAACCACACATTAAGGGAAACTATTTCGATCATTAATTACAGATGTACGAAAAATTGCAAGCGTCTCTGAAATACTCCCTAACATTAATTATTGTTACGTTCTCTTTAGCTAATTATTGTTTCACCTTGGACATATATCCTTGCCACTGTGCCATGTTTACGAAGCACAAATTCAATTAGTTGCTGACTGTCAACATAATGCAGCATGTACACGTAATAATTAAACGCTTAATAGACATTATACACCTTAATAAATGATTTCAAAATGCAATAATTGATAGGAGTGCTTCTCTTCTGAAAGAGAAGTAATTCATTTTTAAAAATTACAGTTTCCTCGATAAATCTGGATTTTTATAAGAATGTTTTTATCAATAAACTGTATACTTTATTAGATAGCTATTATAATTGCTATTTTAAAGGTTCCTCTTTCGGAACAACAATTTGTTTCCCTATCACTTCGGGTAATCGACGTTCCACCGTATAGAATACTTCAAAATCAGCAAATTAAACAAAAATTGAATGCGAACTGCAACTTCAATTAGATCCTCATACGACAAAAACGTTCAACTTTGAAACACCTTCGCTTTGCGCTGAAGCGAGGAAAAATTTTCAAAATGGACAGCGACCAGGTGACTTCATCAGAAACCTCGATAAACTATTCATCGAACAGCGAAAATTGTCGAAATGTCGACGATCAGTATAGAAACCTGCCGGATGACGACGAACACCAGGAACGAGAGAGAAGCAATCCCGAATTGATACTAAATCTACACAACGTGCATCCTATTTGCGACCCAGCCTCTGAAAACGAGGATTCGGTAGAAAAACTTTCAGCTGTTCTCGAACAACCCGAAGATTCGTCGACGATTGTAGAAAGCATTCAATCGTTGATGAACAACGGCGAGAGCAAAAGGTTGGGAACACGAATCGCTAGTCTCTTCAATATATTTAACACATTGCGTACCGGTAACGAGAAATCTCGTTTTTATATAAGAACACTCAGCTATGCAACTTCGTTAATTACCACAGCATTGAAAAAAATATAAAATTTAATTCGAATTGATTATCTATTTAAAATATATTATATAACAATATGATATCTGAGTTTTCCTATGTATAGTGATATAAGTTGACCTCAGTGAAAATTGCCATTCGCACAATTTTCTGAAAATTAGACGGTACGCAATGTATTAACTAAATGTTTGTATTCGAAATCAACGATCTTCCAAGTCATAATTATTTTCTTACAATTTGAAAGCTTCGATTATCGGTGACCGTGGCAGTCAAAGTGTTTACACTAGAACTACGTACCAGTCAAAATGACTGGTTCCGATTTTTTTGTTTAGCAATTATTGATATCTTCGAAGCATTGGATACTCGAAACGATTTTGAAAACAAATAGTTTCATTTGAGTACTGTAATGAATGCCTGAAGAAGCTGAAAATAATCCATTGTTACAATTTTTATAGGAACTGCATATTAACCCTTTCCACTCGACAAGTTTTTCACCGGAAATATTCAATATTTTCTAATGAGATACAGACGACATTTTCTTCGATTGAATTAAGAAATCTCACATGCATAGAGGAAGAGGACTATTTTCTTTCAATATTTCGTACATTGATGCATTATACAAAGTTTAATATTAAATATCAAAGTTTACAGTTTAGCTGTGTCAAATCATTTGGTGACTTAGAGGCGTCGTTGGAGTGCAAAGGGTTAATCGTATTAAATGCTCGGTAGTTCTAGCGTTAACGATGCCTCAACCGTTTCTTCTTTTGGTTTCTCAGCCACATCCTTCGGCAACGAATAGAGTCGCTTCACGAGATCCTGAAGAGTCTCAAGGATTCGTTGCGGACCGAGGTAGAGCTGTGGCGAAAGGAGAGAGAGGAGCTGCAATTATTGCGCGAGAAGGATAACGCCTTAGCTTTATGCGAAGCAACTGCAGCCGCGCGTGCAGCGGCAGCCGCTTACGCCGCGGAATCGCCGTTGTCCAATAATTTGGGTAATCTTGGTTCCATCTAACCATCGTTGCCATGGAAAATGGACGAACCAAACTGACAGTCCATCGATTATGTGTAATCCGATTCGCGTTACAGGAGATGCCCTGGATTTGAATCCCGAGGACACGTTCACGGAGCTTACGATACTCGAGTACGAGAAAAGGTTGGCTAAGTATCAAGACATGCACACTTATAATCAAGCGGAGATGCGTTACAACGCTTGCTGGAAGTCGATCGCGAACATATACAAGCAGAAATTGCTGGACATCGAGCGACTTTGCAACGAAGAGTTAGAGAAGGTTCAACAGAACGCGAGCACGCTTCAGCCGCTGAAGGAAATGGTATCGCAATGGTACCTCGACGATAAGAGTCGCGGTGATACCATCAAGGCTAACGAAATGTTTGCCAACACGACTAGGATTGTTTTTGTTAACGAAGATGCGTATTCTGGCCGTCAATTTCGAAAGATCGACGAAGAAGCGAATGCTAAGATATTTGTTGACGAATTTAAATCTGGGGATTTGGTGAACGGAGATAGATATTATAAGCAGTTTTAACGTTTATCTTCTATTTATATCAAACATTTGCAGTGTCATCACTAAATTTTAGATTAAAATTTATAGAAGTTGTTTGCTGACTGTTTGTTATTTATTTAATGTAATGTTGACAATAAGTCGCTTGGATCAATATGCATTAGAGATTGTTAATTACTATTAACAGTTTGTAATATAATGTTTAACATTTTTTTATCAGACAAAGATGATGTTCTTTGAAACTAACTCGAAGAGAAATCATTCAACATTAAATATCAGTGTAAGGGGTAAATAAATATTTGATTTTATGTATGGGGAAGTAGTGGAAAGGATGTATGGTGACATCTACGGTGAAACGTCCAAGCTTGTAGCGTCGTCTTAAGTTCGCTTCGGCTAGTTGCATAGACGTAGGGGCATTTGACACGTCATATATTCTAGGATATCCCTTTTGGATGATCCAGTATACTCTAACCTGATCAAGTTTTTGGTGCTGGTGGTGACAGATGGCGTCAAAGTGTTTTATACAAACGTCACGTTACTAAAATGTTGGAGATCCGTGGATGTACGTTGATGCAACTTAAAAGATACAACTGTGGTTAAAGTGTCCGGTGAAATCTGACATTTCTACTAGTAAGTGGACATTTTACTTGAGAGAATTCATTTTATTACAAGTCAGTCCAATACTGTTTATTATGACACTGTCCTTGCTTGCAGATTGCTGTGACACACTGTTGTGTATGCATGTTCAAACCGTAACAATGTTGAATTCAAAGAAGATATCTGAGAAAGGTTCTTTAAAGTACAAGAGCATTAATGAACTTCTGGAAAAGGCGAAGGTCAATTACAGAGACATTAAGCCAGCCCAAATCTTAAAGAGATTACCTGAGATGTACAACATAGCTGAGGATTATAGAAAAAAAGGAAATGAAGAGGATCAGTACATTATGTTGAGAAGATGGCTAAACGCTATTGAATGGTTGAAAACTACACATGAATACAAAGATGACAAGATATATTCCTCGACACATTTACACGTCAATCAGGTGGGAAATTACATATATTTTAATAATCCTATTGTTTGTGAAATGAAAATTCGAATTCTAGAATTTTATAAAGATCAATAATAACTTCAACATGCTGTGTAGAATAAAAACATGTTTGCATTGTAGATCAATGAAGTAAAAAAAATACTTGCAGACTTGAATAGAAGATTAGACACGAGATACAAGCAACAAGCAGAAGTAAAATTGTTAGACAAGAGTAATACCTTGGAGAAAATGGATATTGATAACAATGTAGGAATAGATACTTATATGTCTCCAATTGATGGTCCCATACAGTTGCCTGAAACACCAACTAGAGACCCATTGGCTGGTGATAATGAAGAAATTATCAACTGTGACCATCTGTTTCAATTGGTTCAAGATATATGTGGCAGATATTTGATTATTGACATTAGATCTAAAGCACTGTTTGAAAATTCCAGAATATTATGTGATAAATGTATTAACATTCCAAGCAGTGAAATAAAACCTGGGTAGGTAAATAATATTATTTCACAAAGAATATTATTTTGTACTAACTTCTCTCTTATAAATTCATTTCAGTTTATCAGCATCACACCTGGAAAAGTATCTTAAAAATGATGAAAAAGGTTTATACTTGTTCAGGCAAAGATCAGCTCAGTATGTAGATGTTACAATATTATTTGATTGGAATACATCAAGTAAAACTCTGGCACTCAACAATCCATTAAATACATTGAGAAAAATTTTGGAAAATTGGGACCCTGGTATAAAGCATAATAGAATCACTATCTTAGACGGTGGTTACGCGGAATGGATAACTCGTTATCCAGCATTTACAACAAATCCTAATATCACCGAGCCTACGTTAAATAATACTTCAAACGAAATACTAGACAATATTGAATACCCTGAATGGATACATTTAGATGGCGAAGATAGTATTAATAAAGTGCGTGACAAAAAACCTGTTAACATAAAGCCTGTAAATAAGGAGGAAAACGTATCGAAAACGAATATTTCAACTGATAAAATACTTTATAAGCAAATAGAATCTGAAATAAGTAGTAACATCCCTCTGAAATCCAAAGATTTTATGAACGCTTCTATAGAATTAGATAAAGTTTCTGTGAATAACATCATTTTAAAGCAATATAATAACACTTCATCGAAACTTCAACAGAAAAGAACATTTAATACTGTAAAGGAAAATGATATCCCTATGAAACCAACTGTCGATCGCAGTAACAAACCGGTTTTGTTAGAGCCACCCGTATCCGAGGCTGAGACTGTATTGAAATTGCTTAAGCAATTAAATGAACTTGCAAAGGGCAAATTGAATTTGGAACAAGAAATTTTAGAGCAAGAGCATGCTTTATACATGCAGTACAGCATCGAGTATAAAGGTTCGAATGAAGAAGAATTAATTCGTAATAACTTGAAAATTTTATTTATGAAATTAGAAGAAAAGGTAATAAGCATTTCACATTTATATTCAATGCTGAATTATTTTACACATGATTAGTATAAAACAATTAATGGTTCTACTTTTATATAATAGAAAAAGGAATACAAAAAAGTTAAAGATGAATTTGATAAATATTATTCAAAAATGGAATCGATCAAGTTCAGTTCTGCTGAGGAGAATGAAAAAGGCAACTTGGATCTTATCCTTGGTTCTTTAAAGTTGGGCATGAAAAATATAGCTGGAGAAAGGAATAAGTTAAGAGAGTAAGTAGAAAGCTCGATGCTAGTGTTAGTCTCATCATTATATGTTATTATTTTGTATGTTCTAATTTTAAAAGGAAATCTATGAAGAATGATCAGAAAGAAACATCAACAACGGAAAACGACAATAATATTCATAAGGAATCTTTGAAACCGGATAATACCACGTCTCTGGGTAAGAATTTGGAGCGCTCATATTCCAGTCCAAATTTGTTACAGGTAATATGCTGTTCCCAGTAAAGAATCAATATTTAAAAATAATATTATATATTAGTTGAATGATAGATAAACTTGTTCCATTTACTGTTTAGTTGATAGATCGTAAAGCACCGCGAGTGGACAGAACATCAAAGCCGCAAATTCCTCTGTACAATCAAAATGGAACTTTCAACAATGACAATAAAGTATCCCACATCAGTTGGGCAAATCGTGAAGAAAGACTGACTCCTGTTCATGGAAGTGTAGTATGTATAAGTATCAGTGTTGTATCCTATAAAATAATGCTTATTGCACGAGTCGCTGATGTGCACGTGTCTTCAACCCACGTGGTCCCCGCAGACGGGAGTACAAGTAAAAGTCAAATTATACAATTTTACTATTGAATTTTAAAATAAATCTTAAACGAAGTACATGAAGGTATCATTGAAAGGATGAATTAGAGATTTCGTAACTCTTGTTTACTTCAAGAATTGTGAGTTTTCCAAATCTGCGACGTGAAAATACACGTGAACGCTGAAACGTTCAGTACCCGTAAGGCTTCTCAAATCCAATTTAATCGAACCTTTCCGACGTTGTGCGTCACGTGCATCAGTATTTACGCGACTAACGTCACATTAATAACCGATACCTGTTCATTCTTTATTAAACCTTAGAAGAGATACCGTAATTCTGTGTTCTAGTGTAAATTTCATTCAGTGCGTTAACCGAGAACGCTACACTTATTACAGTGTAGAATGTTGTGTCACATTTTTCATAATGCTTTGAAACATGTGAAGACGCGTTTTACAATTACACTGTGAATCGGAAGATGGTAAACTTGTCTAGAAAATTTACGCCACATTTTAAAGTTCACTATTTTCGGAAGGTAATTGACAAATGAAGAAAGTAACAACGTTGTAATAATGAGTTTCAAAACAGTTCTGAATATCAGACAAACAAAATGTGATGTCCTGAGCGGTTTGTGAGAAACGATAAAAAGTAGTGTTTAATTTTGTTGCTAATGAGTTTGTATGACAGAGTTCTGCTAAATGGTAAATATATTTACCTTTGTGTTGCAGCATCCAGGTATTACGGGGTTAAAGAACTTGGGAAACTCGTGTTACATGAACAGTATTATACAATGTTTGAGTAATACTACACATTTAGCTAAATATTTCACCGATAATCTATATACTGACGATCTCAATACAAGCAATGATAATAGCACGCAGGGGCAAGTCGTGGAAGAGGTGGCTCAAGTAATTAAAGCTCTCTGGAGAGGACAGTATAAGAGCATATCTCCTCACGACCTGAAGGTACGCTTATAAAAAAATTATATACGAAGAACTTTTTGTAAATAAAAATTTACATTGGCAATTTGTTCATTATAATTCTTAGATTGCTGTTGGACAGTACAAATTGCAATTCGAAAGTTACGAACAGCAGGATTCTCACGAATTCCTGACCTTTTTATTAGACTGGATGCATAACGACTTAAAGAAGGTAAAATTCTATATTATAAGTAGGTACAAGATGTTTCATTACTAATGTTCATTATTTTTATTCTATTCTGTTTACAGAAGTGTAAGGTTCCCCTAGAAATGACTGTTGCGGAAGAAGCTTGGAATAAAGCAATGGGATCTATGAAATCTATAATATCTGACTTGTTCTTTGGTCAATTAAGATCCACTATAACTTGCAGTTTTTGCAAACAAAGTAGTACAACGTATGAAAGTTTTAATAGTTTAACAACATCATTACCTCATTCCAATCGATGTACATTGAATGTAAGTGAAAATTGTTTGTATTAGTAAATACATAAATAACTACTTGCATGTAAATAAATTGGTTATTTTATTTTTAGGATTGTATATTGAAGTTCGTAACTGGTCAGAAAGTAGTTGGTTGGAAATGCCCAAAGTGTCAGACGCCTAGGGAGGCTACAAAGAAATTCGATTTTGTGAAACTCGCGCCTATTGTAGTAATACATTTAAATCGTTTCGCTGAAAGTGGAGGCTGGTTCGAGAAGAGAAATACTGCTGTCGATTTCCCCCTCACAGGCTTTAATTTAAAACCATATTTAGTTACAGACAGCAACACAGCTACTATTTCGAATATTCGTAGCTATAATTATAGCTTGTATGCAATGTCTAATCACTATGGAACCATGGAAGGTGGTCATTACACAGCATTTTGTAAAAATGCCGCTCAGAATAAGTGTGTATACATTATTGTTAGTTATTGATATAATTTCGTTGTATTGTTATTGTATTAATTAATAGATTTGTTTTACTAGGTGGTACAAGTATGATGATCAAACAGTAACAGAAGTTACAATGAATCAAGTAAGATCTCAAAACACCAGTGCCTACCTGTTATTTTACACATCATTTTCGAGCAATATTATTTAGTATCAGCATAAGAAACCACATGGTATGGTTATTCGAATTTATTACTTAAATAGTTATTAATGTTACGTGATGATGTAGATATTAAATATTTTTTGTATGTATGTGTATTAAATACTTTATGCAGTGTATGCATAAGACAATGACGGCATTACAAGCTTGATTGGTGCTGGGATATGCGTGTAAATAAATAACGGTAGGCAGAAATATTATTCCGATACTTGAAATTTATATTAAATAGACGACTGGCTAATTTAAAAGTCATTCAAGAAAATATTTAAAACTTACGTTACTCAGTGCGACATTGCAATGTATTTCAGCAAAATTGTTTTGTTTTGTGATTTAATTACTTTTCATGTTATGAAGAGAAAGTCTAAACAAAATATTCTATGCTTTACACAAAAAAATCTCTATACACTTTATTATTTGTGGTTTCTATGAATATTTTGCACGTTTATATAAAAATCAATCAAACATAACGTATAAAGAAATCAGATATTTATATCTGGAAATATTAGTTTTTGCAATATTTCGTTTTATAAAGTAATTTTTTATGCATCTGTGAAAAGTAATTAAATATTTTGAAGTATACACAAAACGTGTTCATATACTGTTAATACATAAAAAATTATTGTTAACAAATAATTTAACATTCATTGGACACAATGTTTCTAAAGTGCCATCACTAGTGTGCTTATTTTGTATATGAAATAAAAATTTTCAAGCTTATAAACTCACAAAGACCTGTATTTATTTACAATATAGATACATTTGTCTATAAATGAGCAATAGTTCAATAATCCCTCATTTTCTATATTCGTTTAATTAAATAAAATATTAAATCTGGAATGTCTTAATTTCATGATATTGGACTTCTTATCTCCATTAATCTATTATTTTAAGAGCAATATAATGACTAAAAATTGATAATTTATAATATAATACAACTACCTCTTTTTTAGTTGAATATTAATTACGAGGGATTGATCTTTACATTCTAAACTTTGTCGGAAAAGTTGTGCGTACTGCCATGCATTACTGCCCTGACCGCCGAAAACTGTGGCTGTGAGAATTAATTTGACTGATCCCTCTAATTGGTTTGCGTAATAATTAGCGCAATCATTTATAGGAATTACTAGAGATTTGGTTGAGTTTGTACTATCAAAGAATACTTCCAATTGCCATGATATACTCGCTTCATTAAATGTTTTTATCACAGCTTGCAAATGAAATGTTGATATACATAAATTTGGATTAGTTACAACAAAACTCCATTTCACTCGCCCACTAGTGGCTTCGGAGAAACGAGCCAAATACGCCATTTTCCAATCGTTCTCTACTTTACGAAACATACTACCCTGTATTTCAATTACACCATTTTGCCAACCCAAAATTTCTTCTAACATTCTGTCATCATCATCCATTACTTTATATACATCTTTAACAATCGAATAACGCAAGTGAAATGTTTCTCCATACTTTGAAACATCCCAAGAATAGTTTGCCCCTGAACTTGACTAAAATATATAATTAAAAATGATTGCATTATCTTATTTTTATTAGTTTCAATAATTGTAGATGTTTTTCATACCTGAGAAACTTCTCCTCTTGCTAGTCTCCATTTGTAAGAACCAGTAGTCCTTCCTTGATAGCTTTCGTTATTATCGGAATTCTGTTCATTGGGCATGCGTATTAATTCTACAAGTTCTAATAATCTTCGTTTAATAACATATTGTTTGCGCGAAGGGCTGTAATTAGCGGAACACTGCCGGTGCTTATTCAACGATTCAATTAATTGTAATAAATTATTCTCAGAGCATACAGTCCTTCTTTTCATGAGATTTGTTTGGTCCCGTGAATACCGCCATGTAACATCTTGTACCTCGTCTTTTGAATAAGCTATTATATAGGTCAATTTTTTATTCCAGCCCTTTTCATACATTAAAGGACGATCTATAACATCCTCACATGGGTCTAAATGAATCCATCTTTGTTCATGCATGGACCATACCTTAAACATTAATCGATATACCCACATCTTTATTACTGATAGTTTATAAAGAAATTAACACTTATATGGCGGTAATGCCTGTTATGGATTGAACAACTAAGGGCTTTGCAAATAGTTTTCATTAATATAAAGGTAATTGTTACTGCACACCTCTGTCCAAACATGATCTGTTGTATCGTGTACATATCTTGAATCATATCCTAAAGAACGACAAAGAAGTGTAAATACATTAGCCCATTCTCCGCAGCGACCACGTTTCAGGGTCAATAGTGGTTCTGGATCAGAGTAACGTGGAAATTTAACAAGTGCCTCACAATTAGTACATCTAGATCATATAGTTCACTCTTTAATTTCCAGGCATAAAATAGAATATATTATATAAAAGAAATCATTTATGTATTACTTATGTATCTCTATTCTTGAGCATCTAGGATCTTCAGAAGGTACAGTTTTATAATGTTCACAGTTTCCCATGCAGGCAGAACATCTGGGACTATCAACCCATGTAAAAAATTTATACTTAAACCAATGCATAAGTTCCATCAAAAATAATTCATTTGCATCAATATCACTCTCTTTAAATAGCCCCTCTGTACTTTTTTCAGAATTCTCATTGCTTAATTTAATTCGCCTAAGAACAATACATTTCAAATATAAACTGCATTTAAATGAATAAAAATTAAATTTCTATAATAAATAATTACTCTTGTAATTCTCTTATCCTTGTCATGGTCGCTATCTGAAGTTCCGTTATAGGTATTAGCCTCCTTGCTTTTTTTTGTAAAATTGTATTTTCAAAGCGTAGAACACTTTGAAATTGATGTACAATTTGTGTTAAGAAGGCTCTTTCTTTCAAATTAGTTGTCTTGGGTATCAAATTATAGGCTTCTGTATTGTCTACTATATTGTGTCTTGCAATACAACTTTCAGAAAGATGACTTTCCAGAGCTTGCAGTTTGAAGAGCGATGCTTCTGGTGGTAAGATGAGAGAGTCAGCAGTCTATCGAATGAATATAAACCAACACAATGGTATATAAATCTTTACAATACAAACTAAAAATTGTGATTCTTAATGTGTTTACCTCAACAAACCCCAAGTCAAATAAGCATTCCATAGCTCCAATAGCAGGAAGCAGTTTCTCTACTATGGGATCATCCAGGCACACCTCCCTAAACTGCTTGTCATTGGGATGACATAAAATATTTTGACAGACAGTTAATAATGCACCTTCTGCATCATGTCGAACATTTTCAGTATTTTCTTTTAACAGATCCAAACAACGTTGTAAATCTTTGTCCATGATTGAATTCTGTTTACGGTTATCAAGAATGACACATGTAAATTGATGGAAAAAGTGCAGTATGTCAAATGCAACATATACCACAGACTTAAGATCCGTACAGATGTCTCATTAAATGGAAATCTCTCTACAGCTCTGAAATACCGACAATGCAAAAAAATATCAATGTTCACTAGCGTACTCTGTCAGGATGTAGTAAGAACATAATATAGATTTAAATAATCAACACACCTTAAAATCAAGGGTTTCTTTCTTGATTCACCTCCTTTGCTTCTTGACCCGACAATGACTAAAACTTTAGAAACTATGTTAATTAAGTTAGGCTAATTTAAGTTTAATATTTAATAAATATTTCATTAATAACACAGAATAGTCACATCTAATAAATCCTGATAATTTTTAAAACAATAATTTTTTAAAATCTCACTTGTTTATCCAAGATTGATGGCGCCACATAGTGCGAGATCGCTCAACCCTCTAATCAACAGATTTCTTAAGATACCAATGAGCGTCGATAAGGGTATTTATACCATTATTGGGTAATTCAGAATACTAAAAGAACATTACGTTTATCGAACAGGTTGCAACTGTTTAACGGTTTGAGTATTTCGCCACGGATGGCGCTAAAAATTTTGAACAGAATATAAACTATATATATACACACATTTAAATTATTCCATATTCCTTATTCTAATATTCGATAAATAACATTCCGAATAATATTCAGCATCAACCATTAGAACGTGAATCCTGTAATCACAAATTTCATCTCTCAGTCGTCAGTCGGAACAATATTTTTCTTTTTGTACATCTCGAAAAAAAAGAATGAAATATTCTATCCAAATAAAAGCAATAAGAACAGACAGATATATATTTAGGATTTATTACAGATTTATATTTCCCGTCCAACGTAGAAGAGTTAATTACAAATGACAGATATCTCTGTGAAATATGTCGATAGACGTCGAATGAAATGGACGTTGAATCGAATATCATTTTTTTATTAACGTTTTGTCAGTTACAATTTTGATTACATACATATAATGTGGATTCTTCTTTAAACACATGTCGCTATGATACAAATGACGAGGATAAAAATTTGGAGTGCGTAAAAATGTAATTAGATGACAATTCTTTTTTTTGTTTGTTTGCTTCCTTTCATCACTTTCTTTCTCTCCCTCTCACGCACACTCTCTCTTTCTCTCTCTCTCTCTCTCTCTCTGTCTCTCTCTCATTTTCTCACTCTGTTTCTCTCCCTTTCACTCTTGCTCTCTTTCTCACTCTCTCTCCCTCTTTCTTATTACTTCATTGGTCATGGCGATGGGCCAACTTTGAATGTATATTAATATAATATACCGAGCTGGCCCATGTCCACTAAAACGGGGCGGGGGTAAAAGTGTTAATTAATCCCTTGATTGCGATCTTCTTTCCTCTTAAATCGT